TAGGTTTAGGGGTTAATTTTAGGTTTAGCGTTTACAGCGTGCTTCTGTCTCCTCGCTGTTGTCGCCCTGTTGATGACGCCAGCGACGCGGTTTAATCGGGCGTGGCTTAGTCGAGCGCGGTTTTGTCGTGCCACGGAATTTCCCACTTCTCTTTCTGTTTCCTCCCTGGGTGTTTCTTCCTCCCTTCATAGACTGAGAGCACTGAAACTGATAGCTGCTGTGTCAGTGTGCTGAACCTCTGCAACCTTCATGTAATAGAAACACAAGACTGATAGAAGGGAATATTTGTATTTCAGGGTTGAATTGTAGGGTCCCTGGTGCTCAACAGGACATGACCCTTCAGGACATAATAGGATTAACCCACTACCATTTAGCAGAAGACACAAAGCTCACTGCATTGCACAATCTTCTAAGGGCATTTCAGACATTGCACAACTCCCCCTAGCAGCATCTCGGAAACTTATAAAAATCCATGTAGTCATCAAACCAATGGTTCAGCTGCCCAGAATCACATGTGGTTAGTGGTTCTACTTCATCAGTAAATGGACCTTCTTTTCAATATACACTGGGAGCAGTAATATTTACAAGATATCCTGCTTTGGGTGTCTGAAAACTTGAGTAACTTTGCATGCCAAGAGCTTTGCTGCTACGCCTCTGGAATCTAATTTGCCGGGCCAACACAAGGAACCTGAGTCATAATTAAGAGTCATAATTAAACTTGGATTTGGCTGGATTCCCCACTACCGTTACATGTAAGCCAAAAACAAAATCACACTGCTTTTGGCATAGTGTAGTGTGAGGTCACCAAGTAGCTACGGTTCACACAACACTGAATTAGGAGGTAGTCAATTAGAAATTACGGTAATCTAGTTGTATGATCCCACTCCATGTTAATTTGTAGTACAGTGTGCTGTGAGAATCAAGCTACGGCTTAAGTAAATTAATTACGGACAAGGACATGATGCAGACCATCAGAGATTGGATCCACACATTAACTAGTTCCTAATTTGTTTAAGGCTCAGTATATAAGATTCTCAGCTTGTCGATCAGAAAGGTCAGCAGTTTGGCGGTTTGAATCCTTAGCACCACATAATGAAGTGAGCTCCTGTTACTTGTGCCAGCTTCTGCTAACCTAGCAGTTCCAAAGCATTAAAAAAGTAGAAAGAGAGGAACCATCTTTAGTGGGAAGGTAACAGCTACCATGCGCCAGTGTTTAGTCATGCCAACCACATGAGCACTGGGAGGTCTTCACACAGTGCTGGCTCTTCAGCTTTGAAATGGAGATGAGCACTGCCCCCTAGAGTCAGGAACGACTAGCACATATGTGCAAGGGGAACCTTTTTCTTTAATTTGTTTAACGGGTGATGTAATCACTGTTTTTAGGGGAAAGGCACCATAGGTTAAGTACATTCAATAAAGTCTGAAGGCCATGCTATATAAATCACATTGCCACAACAACAGCAACGCAAAGGGCAAATCCAGTTCAGCACCTTAAGAAAGTTTGGCTTGCGGAGGTCCGGCCCAACTCCCGACTACAGGGTGTGCCAGGAGGCGAACTGTGCCACTTGCACCAGTCGCCACGTGCATCCTTGGCTCCACAAGGACACCCCGGTGGCTTCACCTCACGGACGGCTGAACTTGATCCTGTTGTTTCTCAGCCTCCCGGGACATCCGGCGCGGACCTCAGCCCTAAAACGGAAAGCGAAACCTAAGGAGAATTCCGTGCGGGCGCAAAGAGAGAAAACTTCCACCCTTCTCCGGAGTGGCACATCCGACGGGCGGAGCTCTTTGACGGGCGAAAGGAACGCCCCGTTGCAAGACGCCGACGCAGAGAGAGACGGCAGAAAGGGTCGTCGTTGTCGTCACTTCGGCGCAGCTGCTCCCAAGCCGAGGAGGAGGGAAACGATGGCCTTCTTCTGGAGTTTCCTCTGGAGCCTTTGCGTCCTTGTGGGTCTCCTGCTGCCGCCCGGCGGTGAGTGACGGACGTTGGAGGGAAGAGCTGGCTGGGCGCCGGTGGGGTGGGCAGCCCTCTTCTGGGGAACCGGCTGAAGCAGTCGAGAGTACCGCTAAAGGCAGGGATCAAGGACCGGCAACCCTCTGCCTCGTTTGACTCCAAGGGGACGGCCGTACCTTCCCACGGCTGGGTGACATTACAGCTCTCATCAGTCCCGCTTAGCTTACAGTCAGGGCTGTTTGGCGTAAGGGGTTGTGGTTCAACACAGCGAGTGGGCGCCAGGTTGGGGCAGGCAGTCGTTGTGATCAGGAGGGGTGACAGAAATTAACTTTACTTACCTAAACCGGTGGCCGCAATAGGGTTAAATTGGCGATCACTCCTGTTGCTGAATGTTGGCATCCTCTCTGCTGCGGGCAGATTGTTCACCCAAGCATCGTCTGAGTTACTTTGCTGTGAGTGGCTTCGTCACAGTTTCCGAGATTTGCCTTGGAGAGAGAAGCAAGGGACCCGAATTTTGGTCCTACCAAAGCCCCGTCTAGTTAATTTTACAGCACTTCTCTGCCTGGGTGTCATAAAGTCTCCCAAGGGGAATTTTCCATGAGACCAAAACCACATTGACTCACTGCTGTGCTCTGTGCAACTTCTTTGTTGCTTATCTCTGTATGAACTTCTGTATTTTGTATTCTGACTCTCTCCCTTAGGGAGAAATTCATTCCCTCCCCCCTCCCCCCCACATTGCAGAACATTCAGTTTTTTTCTCAGATTTGATTTGACTTACAAAAGTCTGGAAATGAAAAATTCCAGACTTTTCTGGAATTAGATTGTACAAAGCTGGCATTTCTTTCCAATTAGGAAGTGTGAGATTTATTCTGATAATAAACAAGTAACAACTTGGATGTTAATTTTGTTTCCAGAAGGAATTACCGGAAACAGTAATTACAGCAGTAGGCATTAAAGTTGAGCCAATTAAATACAACCACTCTCCCCCCCCTCACACACACACACCAGCAGCCTCTGGATTAAAGCTAATTTTTTCCAGACTAGGATCTTAATACTTTCTTGGTATGGGTTTAGTTTATTATGTGACATGGTATCTGAGAGGGGGTGATAATGTTGTGCATGATGTGACTAGCATCCCTTGTCAGGACCCAAGTTTGGAGGAGTGACATTTGTGTGATTGTATTGCGCAGGTCTTATCATTTTGATATCACTGTGGTTTCCTTTGAGGACTCAGTGAACCAAACCATTGTGATTTTAATCATGATTTGTGGTTTAGCATGTGTAAACAAAATTGTCATTCAGTGAAGCATAATTAAGCATACTGTATTCTAGCATGGTGAAACCATGGTTCCTGTCCCATCCAGTCACAGACATGACACTGAAGGTTGGAAGCTCCTTTTCCTTGACTTACAAAATAGAGAGGGGGGGGGACCAGAAATAGTATAAAATGTGAACCATGAAACATCTATCAAGGCAAGATTTTAAGGATGATCAATGAGTGAAGTATCATGAACATCCGCTCAATTACAATTTTGCCCTTAGCTTTGAATATCAGATATTTGGGCTTTTATAGGCTTTTTATAGGCTTTACAGACTTTTATACGCTTGCACTTATGGATGTCAACAGCAACTTTTTGTCAAAATAATGACTCTTGATTTGCCATCATGCTGCAATCTCCACTCCTGCCATGCTTTCGTATGTAAGGGCTCAGTGCATTTTCAGAAGAGACGGGGGTTTGCCATGATGAGGCAGCCCTCCTTTGTCCTTCATGCACCCCGCTCTCCCCACAGATACTGTTGCCAAGTGTTTACCTAGTTTTAAATTTCATACACAGAAAATAATGAAAGGGACTATTTCTTGCACACTTCAAATTCTGTCTCATCCTTTTACTACTCTAGCATTTCTAAAACAGCCTTTCTCTTCCTGGTACATTTCAATTGGTTAGTATTCATATCATTTCTATTAGTGTGTCTGTGTATCCTTTGTGATAGCTGGCATTGGCATGAGCATCCTTCAGTCTCAAAAGACTATGGTATCATTCCAGTCAAAGCTGGAATGTCCTCTCCAGCACGAGGGTAGATTAATATGGATGATAGACTGTTACCTAAGCAGCAGATCCCCCCTCTCCATGTCACTGAAATAGTCCAACGCAACGGCAGAGTCAATATGATTGGTTCCAGCTGCGTTGCAGGAGATACCAGAACATGGTTGCACATAGTCACGAACGGCTTCCGGGACTCTAGCTCCAGATTTTGCCTCGAGGTTGATTCCTGAAGCCTTTTCCAGTAGTGGATATAGCTACAAGGCAGTGGAGGTTTGTAATCAGAGTTTTCTCCTAGAAGATAGTTCTGCTGCTTTATCTGCCGTTGGGGCGTACAGCCCTCTTCCACCTTCAAAACCATTGACCATCTTCTCCTGTAACCCTGGAAGGGGGCCCTTACAAGGTGCTACCAGCCGGGCCAGCTGGACCAAGGTTTTTTAAGATGTTACTCCTCCATCATACCCTTTGTCCTAGTTTGCGACATGCAGAGCCTGGCTTCCCAAATGTTGGGCCCAGGATGGCAGGTTTAATGATAGCTGGCTGCTCTGATTCAATGCACTATGCACAAGGCCTTGCTAGACATCCTAAACAGATGGGGCAGGTTTATCAAGGAAAAAAGCAGGCTAGTCTTTATAGAGCAAACCTAACACTCATGTTTCAGAATAACATGTTTGCTTAATGATTTCATTAACAAGTTGCGGTGCAGGGTGGCTGTTTTGATAATAGAATGAAATACATGGAGGATGGGAGTGAAGTCAAAGCCAATCAGGAAAAACCAACTATCGCAGAGAGTGGAAAAAGCAGAAGAAAACAGGGCAAGGGACAGATTTAGCTATTATTCATTGTGTGCTTCATTTCATGATAAACATCCTTCTCACCCTCACCCCTATAGAACTTTCTAGCCAACCAGTGATTAAAACATGTCACTATGTTTTGAACTATATCTGAGGATTAACTGCCAGTTAATTCAGGAGTCCTGTTGCAAAAAGGACATGTTGTTTTTCCAACACATTTCTCTTCTCCAAAATGTGCTTTCTAGGTGCATTAGAACTACAGTTCTTAATCTTCTGTAATCCCATCCAGAGGTGAGAAAGCAGCTGCTTAGAGATTGGAATTTGTGGGAACTTTTGCAATAAACATTATGTCTCTTTTACCATAATAAAAAAAAATGGATAAAATTGATTTAAAAATTCTGTTGAGAATATACAGCAAAAAAATCAAATAAAATATATATTTACTATTGTAGACCAGGGGTGTTAAACACAAGGCCCATGGGCCGAATCTGGCTTGTAGGGTGCTTAGATTGGCCCATGAGGCCGTCCTGGAAACAGCAAAAGACTGGCCTGTGGTGCCTCTTCCAGTAAAACTAGAGTTCGGGGGGGGGGTGCACGTGGAACTCTGTTTTCACTGGCAAAGGGCTGCAGGACACCATCCTAGCTGAAAACGGACATTGAGCTGGCCATGCCCCCTGACTCCCCAAGGTCAAACACAACCCTGATGCGGCCCTCAATGAAATTGAATTTGACACCCCTGTTGTAAACCAATATTAAAATAATGAAACAAAATAGAACAATTAGAATGCTTCTGTATATACATAGGAAAAGATAACATAAGATGAGCTGCCATACATCTAATGAACCTTATACTAGACCACCTGAATAAATATTCTTCTTTAAATTATCAAAACCTGCAGGCTATTAATGAGAATGTGAATACACAGAGTGTTACTGCAAAATCTTGGAAAAAATTGACCCACCTAGACACATCTATGGAGGAAGAGGCCCTCAGAGAATATTATAGGTCTATGCAAATGAAAATATACTATAATTGGATGCAAACAGGTGGTTCTAAGAGTTCCTACTCTTTAAGTGCCTACTCTTTCTGAAAAAGGAGCTTTTTTAAAATCTACAATACAGTAGAAGAAAATGGCTGTGGATAAGATGCTAAACTTCATTAGGTGAAAGCCCTGCTATAATTGTGAACAGTAATTTCTCAAATCCTACTATACTGCCTCACAGTGAGTCTAGGGGTTGTTCCTGGGAGGGATGAGTGCCAGGGGTGTACTCCTAACAGCCACCCAAAGTGTGGAAGTAATCCCAGTTTTGGAGATTTGAATGTTAGATTGGGTCCCTCTGAGCTTGCCCAGAAGAATGGAGTCCCAAGGGAGTAACCATTATTTTGATAACCATCCTCTGGCTCTCGAGAGACTGCAAAAGTAGTGCTACTGGCCTGCTCCTAGTCTCCTTAATTTTTAAGAGTTATCTCCAAATTCTGAGAGTTAAGGATAAGAATCATATTTATCCTTATACCTATCATTTGGCCAATTCAAGCAGTATACTGGATCTCTTGTGTGTGTCTAAAGATAAAGTCAATCTCTTTTCGGAGATCACAGCACATCTTAGCGTCAATAGCGATCATCAGCCTGGAAGCATGTCATTGCGGGGCCGCTCAGATTTAAGACCATATAACATGGCTGACAGATGGCTCACCAAAAAGGTAGAGGTGGCCCAAAATAAAAGGTTAATTTGGGCCAAAGTCGATACTAAGGCAATGTTAGATTTCCTTAAAAGAGACAATGCTAAGTGGGCTAGAACAATCCAGTCATCTACTGACTGGCTGTCAGCCTTTAATGCATTCTCTAATCTCTGTAATAATCTGAAGAAATACCTAACAACGAAACCCAGCTAAAGCAAACAGACATTTATATTGGGCAGCAGCGAATAGGAAGATGTTGGACATCGATGGCCACTCTGGGGCCAATAGCAAAAACATAATTTCATATTATGGAAAGGGCTGCGGTAAATTGCTTGATCAAATTATTGATCACTTCTCTATACCACCCATCTCACCTAAGAGACTCTGGGTGGTTTAAATAAATACAAACTTTTAAAACAGAATTATGAACAAAGTTAAAAGTGAGCAATTAAAAAGTTAAAGAGAGGGAGAGAAAACTCTCATGTCACCAATTACCCTCAG